CCATCCTCTCTCCTCCCCACTCTCCATCGTCTCTCTTCCCCACTATCTTTTCTCCCCCCCTCCCACCACTCTCCATTGTCTCCAGCTTTCCTCTCCCCCTACTCACCCTCTTAGTCCTCTCTCTTCCTGCTCCCTGCTTCCTGTTTCTCCCTGCTCTGGGTCTCCCCTTTCCTCTCACCACCACCCTCTTGCCCACCTTGGTACAGAGCCTGCAGGAGATGAAAGGGCTGGGTGAACACAGGGAGGGGCCACCAACTGCTCTTTGCCTTGGGGGGGCCCTTGAGAGAGGGGGGCGGTGGCTGGAGCCCTGGGCAACACTGACCAGTCTGTGAACCTCCAAGTTCAAAGCTCTGGGGACAACTCTGCTCCCTCATAACCTTGGTGTCCTGTGGGTTCATTCTTTATCATCAAAAGTAAAATGACCCTGTCAGGTGGCTCAGTTGATTGGTGCGTTGTCCTGAACACCAAAAGGTTGTGGATTTGATTCCCAGTCAGAGCACATACCTAGGCTGCCAGTTCATCCCCCGGTCAGGGCATGTACAGGAGGCCACCGATGGGTGTCTCACTCTCATATCTCTCTCTCTCTCTCTCTCTCTCTTTTCCTCCCTCCTCCCTCCCTCCCCCTCCCTCTAAAATAATCAATAAAAATCTCCTTGGGTGAGGATTAAAAAAGAATTATTTTTTAAAAAGTGAAATAGAGGTCTTGACCCAATTCATTTTTTCCCCTGTACACTTTCCTTAAGCCTTTGCCATCTGCTCCTTGCTAGCTAGCAAGGGGAGTGACCGTCCCCTGCTGTCCCCTCCCTCAGGTCCCTGGCTCCGTCTGTGAATTCCTATGGGTCTGTAACCCCTCCTGCTGCAACTGAAGCCCAGTCTGGCCCACAGACCCCAGCTGGGGTCCTAATGCACAGGCCCCGGGTACGTGGCCACACTGGGATCCCTGCGCCCTCGCTCCTTCCCCAGCCCTGCTCAGGGGCAGGGCGGGTTGCTCTGCCTGGAAGCCAGGCTGCCCTTGAGCTCCGGGACCAAAGGAAAGGAAAGGAACATGGCTGCTGTAACCTGACTTCTGTCACCCTTGCCTTCTTTCCACCTTCAGAATCCCTTTCCATCCTCTGGACTGAACCTGGACAACACCTCCTGCGTTAGCTCTTCCCTGGCGTGTGCAGGGACGCTGGGGGTGTCTGTCCCCCGAGGCAGGCAGGGTCCCTTGCGATGGGGGTAGAACCCTATGCTGGCCTCCACGCGTGCAGCCTGCATGCACCCACCAGCCAGCTGCAGGGAGAGGGGTGTTTCTCCGCACAGTAGGCCAAGGGGACCATCACCTGGCACTTGCCAACAAGCACTGAGATGGTTTCTGAGCTTCTGAGTCAAAGGGTGGGGTTCAGCGGCCTGGGAAATGCAGCAGGTGCTGGAAGAATGTCTGACAAACTGAAGCCCCCCAACTCCCCAAGGCCTCCCCCTGGGCCCAGTCAGCTAGGTCTGCTTCCAGCCCCTGCCAGTAAGCTCTGCCGCAAGGAAGGAGGAAGGGGCGTTGGTAAGTGTGGGCTTACAAAGTCCCAGAGCTCAACTCAGCTTGCCAAGAGATGGTGGGGGAGGGAGCCCGGGGCAAGAAGGCAGGCATTTTGGCTCCTAGTCCAAAGGTGGGTGAGCCCCATGTCTAGGCATTTGTTCTGTGGCTCTCCAGGGGCCAGGCCCAGCCTCACCCACAAGAGGCCCATCCCTGGAGAGGGCTGCCCGCACTGCCCTGCCAGCACTCACCATCCGCTTCATCTCCTTGGACACCTGGTTGCTGCCCAGGTGGTTGTAGAAGGGGCGCTCGGCTCCCCAGTGTGGCGGGTTGTGCCCGATGGAGTTGGTTCTCTGGCGATTCATCTTGGCAATCATGGCCTTCTCTTCTTTCTGCGAGAGCAACACACACGTATCAGCCTGTGGGCAGAGCCCACACGTGTGGCGTGTCTCATCCCCAGGTGCCTAACCAGATGCCCAGGGGTTAAGGCAGCTGCCCCTCTCTTCTCTGCACAGCCTGGAGCCCAGAAGTCTGCCAAGATCCTAGAGCTCACCCAACAAAGCATCCTGATCCCCCAAACTCCCCAAAGCTGGCCCTGGTGGGCCCAGGAGGACAGGGAGGTGTCTGTGAGGAAGCAGTGGGGCCTGGAACACCTGTCATTCACCTGGAATTCTCAGGGGTGGGCCGACCTGGGCCTGTAGGTGTCTGGGGGTGACAAAGGGAGAGGAAACCTGGGATTCCAATCTCCGCTCAACTTATCCAAAACAGGCGTGTCCTAGCAGAGTGGGAGGGGGCACAGGCCCTGCTGCCCGGTAAGCAGCTTCCAGAGGTTTGGGCCATTAGAAAAGGAGATTCGAGGACTGACATGCATTGTACAAATACACAAACAGGGCCTCGGCCAGACGTGTGCCAACCACATCTCTTCTGTCCATCTGCCCATTCATCCAGCCAAACAGGCTCCGTTGAAGGTGTGGAGAGCAACCCCCCTCACCGCGCCCCAGGCCTGGGAAGGAGTGCGCCGGATTAGGAGTGCAGAGGGAAGGGGGCAGACTGTTCCCGATGACACTGCTGGGGGTGAGGCTATCACTGTCTGTCTGTCTGTCTGTCTGTCTCCATTTCATCCTCTCTGGACCACTTGTCAAGTGGGGAGAGCCGAAACCCAGAGAGCCCAGGGCAGAGGGCAGGAAGCGGGGGCTCCTGGAGGCCTGGGAGCAGGTAGAGGGGGATGTGGGAGGAGGGCTGGGAGGGTCCAGCTCATTTATATTCTAGCCAAACAACAAGCACATATTTAAAAAACGTGTCAACTCTCTCCACAGTGCCCTACATCCCCCCACCCGCTCATCACAGCTCTCTCAGAGGCACCACACAGCCAGTGTCTGGGGCAGCCAGTGTCTGGGAGCAGCCTGGGAGCTGCTGATGCAGGAGGTGCCGCTGACGTTCCTGTCGGGGGGGGGGCGGGGGGGGGGGGATAGAGGGGCCTGCCCCAAAGAGCTGGGCCTTCTTGAAAACCAACTTTTGCTTTCGTCCAAAACTTTCCCTGAACTGTTCTCACAGCTTAATTTCGCCCTGAGTCTGACTTCTTAGGAAGGAAACGGAAGCTTTTCTCTACCACAGGGCTCTGACCAACAGATAAATCCAACGGAAAGATCCACCAGTAAAAGGCATGTCAGTCTGGGAGAAAAAGGAAATGTTCTCATCCTTCACTTTAAAAATTAAGGACCTGGAACATGACACTATTAAAAATAGAACCCTGAAGTCTGCTGATAATTCAGTTTTATATTTTGGTAAGTGTGGGCTGAGACAAAAAGAGGGAGAAGAAAGAGACTAGAAAGTGAAAGGGGAAAAGACAGAGGTTGAAGAAACAAAGATTCACAAGTTCCAGGAGAGAGAGCGAGAGCGAGAGTGAGAAAGAGAGAGAGAGAGAACAAAAGTCCGCTTTGTCCCAGCAATAGTGGAGAAGTGAGATGAACATATGGGAGACACAGATCTCCTTGCAGCTTCATTTCCAGTTCATGACCTTCCGGAGCAGTGTGGCTAACTGATCTGAGCCTGTGCATTTTTTGCAACAGAAGCAAATTGGAAACATTCCCTCTTCGTGGGGCTCCTGTAACTCTGATGTCCTTCCAGGGATGCAGGAGCCATGGCTGTGTAAGGAATTCACGCCTTGGCTCAAGAAGAGGAGGCAGAAGCAGGCCA